GCCGGTGCGTGCAGTTCGTTCACCAACTGCCATTTCTCTAAACTATGTTGTTTCTTCGCTTCCCCGGTTATTCCCGATCGTCGGCCCATCGTTGTTTCAATTCGTCGATCGAATTAGCCGTTCAATAGCCGTTCGTAGCTGTTGCTGATCCGTTCGATTGTCATTTATAGCCGTTCAATAGCCGTTCGTAGCTGTTGCTGACCGTTCGATTGTCGTTTATAGCCGTTCAATAGCCGTTCGTAGCTGTTACTGACCCGTTCGATTGTCATTCCTTAGCCGTTTACTGCCGTTCGCTAGCTGTTCACTGCCGTTCTTGACCCCTTTGTTGGCATGATTGACCCTGTTGATAGTCGTTTTTAAGTAGTCCGTAGCCTCGTTCGCAGTCGTTTCTGACCCGTTCGTAGCCTCGTTGGCAATCGTTTTTGACTCGTTCGTAGTCGTTCCACTTGTATACCGCCTCGTATGTAGCCGTTCCTGACGTGTTCATAGCCTTGTTCGCTGCCATCCTTGAGGTGCTCGTAGCCTCGTTTGCAGCTGTTCTTGAATTGTTCGTAGCCTCGTTCGAGACCGTTTCCTCTTCGATCACTGCCATTCATTATAGCTCGATAATCGTCGGATAATCGTTCGTAGCCGTTCGATAAAGAACCTCTTTCTAGATGTTTAATAATTGTACAATAGCCGCTCCTAAGCCGTTCACTACAGCACATTACAAGTTGATAGCCGTTTCTGAATTAGTATTAATCGTACGACGAAGCTCATTTATCGCAGTCTGTAAAGCTCGCACGTCCTTCTCGAACGCAATCAGTCCGCTTCTCGTCCGATTCTTTCTGTCGATTCTTCAATGTTTTAACGCATTCTTCCACGTACAGTTTGTTGACTGCATCTGTATCAGCCACAGGTTGCGCTACACGGCGAATCTTGCGCGACCTCGCGTCATAGTCCGTTGCGACGCGACACAGAGCGTTTTGACGCAAGTAACTCGTCACCAATTTACCCCAATGATTGCTCGTGCTGATTTCTTCGTTTCTCCGAATAATCCAAATTTGTTGATAGGCATTGTTTCTCGATGCTAGTGACGTCGATCGACTGATTAGTTTCGTCGAGACACCGCTTAATTTATAATAATGCCGGCTTCGCGGAGTTCCTCTATGATCGACAAGATCTCGTTGTCGTGAGCGTTGTGGCCAGCTTGACGCGAAGCAATCGTAGGTGATCCATTAGTTCGTTGGGATCGTCCCAGTGCACGTAATCGATCTTATTGTCGGTTAGCATCATCGCGCGAGGCGTGAATACTCCCGTTCCCGTTTTTTTCTTTTTCGATTCGATCGACATCAACGGCGCGATTATTTGTTTATACTTGTATCCCTTGTTGCTCTTTAATTGGCCTTGCGCATCATATTGACGTTTATGCGCACTCGTCGCCATCAATATGCTCTTATATTTTTGCACATCGTCCTCAGTGTATACGACGTCGTCGGGAATTCTCTTGAAGATCAACTCGTATAATCCTGGTGTACCATCTGTATCTCACATTGTCTATGATTATAGAATCATCTTTATCAATGTCGAATCGTTTGTTACCGAGACGCATTCCATTCTCGTCGAAATAGACGCCGTACACGTGATCGATCGTGTTTTTTCTTTCGTCGCCGCTAAGAAGAGCACCCATGTATTTTTGTCCCAGTGATCCCAAGTGCTTTTGTAACACTTCTTGACCTTCCGACGTTTGTAATCTGTTTCGAACGGATGTTTCGAGCGGGTTGCCCGTGGTTTCGAAAACTTCCGTTTGAAACAGGTTTTTTTTGGGATTTTTCGAGAACTTCTTCGATCTCATCAAGTAATTTGGGTATCCTGGATTGTACGGTTCTCGTTGCTCCGGACGGTGTAGAGGTTAGCAGCGGTTCATCCAATGTACGCGGCGTCAATAAACGTTTAGCCTTCGATCGTTTCCTCTTTTTCGGTGTCGCATCCTCCTCCTCCTCCTCCTCCTCCTCTTCCTTATATCGCTTGATGAGTAACGTTTCAATTATAGCGTCAGCGTTACTCTCTGGCTCTTTTTTCACCGCGATTGCGGACGATCTTTTGCAGCGGCTCGATAATAGGTCTAAAATGAGTCGTGACCGCGATATCTTCGTCGATCTTACCGGTCTTCAAAGCGCGATGTTTCTTGCGGATCGATTCGCTCGTTTTCTCAATCTCCCGCGCAATCTTTTCACGCTCGCGAATATTATCGCTTCCAGCCATGTTGACGGAACGTCGAGCGTTTCACCCTTCTCGACGGAATGTCGACAGCGACTAATCGTTTCGAGGTATCGCGAACACGTTAAATCCTTTTCTGTATCGTCCGTTCGTAAGCGCGCTGTCCTTATCAATCACTAGGAATCCATACTTTTGCTACCAAAAAGTACGGCATAATTCACTGAAATCCTCGTACGACATGTCGGTATTCACGTGATCGTTGTACACGAGTAGGAGTATAGGGAGAGTTCTAACTCAGGTCCTCTCAGGGGGGGTGAGGCGCGCGGGGGATTACGGTGGCGCGGGGGAATGACGTCACGCGGGACGGAGGGATTTCGGCGGCGGCGCGTGTTAGATGTTTTATGGTAATATTATATTACATGCCCAGCTGATAAACAGTATTGCGTACGGACATGTTCGGTTTATAAATAATATAAACATCAGCATTTTCGAATTGAGATTATGATCGTATAATAGAGATGTGACATTATCGCCATATCGTCGTAAACGCCTCGTAAAAAGTACGCGCGGTCCCATATATTTATCGAAAGTATATGAAATATTGTATCGCATGCCCGGTTGATAAACAATATAAACATCTGCATTTCTTTGAAATGCATCGCGTGCGAGAAGAACGAGTGCGAGGGAGAGGGAGCGATGACGCGAGGAGAACGCGTGCGAGAGGGAGAGAGACTTAAAACAAAAAAAAGGAAAGAAAGAAAGAAAAGAAAGAAAAAAGAAAAAAAGGAAAGGAAACATAAATCCTTTATTCCATCAACCGGACGAAGAACTAACAAAAGTAACGCAAAAAAAAAACTAAGTCAAGAGGGCAGGGTGATTTGGGATAGGACAGTAGGCTGAATAGAGATTCGAAAGGTCGAGAAGAACGCGTGCGAGGGAGAGGGAGCGATGGCGCGAGAAGAACGCATGCGAGGGAGAGGGAACGATGGCGCGAGAGAGGGAACGCGTGCGAGGGAGATAATGTAAATAAATATTTTTTTTAAATGAATGTATAAAATTTATTAAAAATGTATGTGTGTGTTTATACATTTTTATGTGTGTGTATGTATACTTAAATTTAAGAATAAAAAGTAATGAAAATAAAAAGAAAATAAAAAATATAAAAAATATAAAAATATGAAATAAGAAATAATGCAAAATATATGGGGAGGGGAATGCACCGAGCTGAGAGAGGCCGCACCTGCAACAAAAAAAAAAAAGATATACATTTTATTAGTTTTTAATAAAACATTTAATAATTTATTTAATATAAAAATAGTACTTACATTAACCTGCTAGAGCCATCAAATCGTCCTGTGGCATCCACACGTTTCCACCTAGGATCCACTCTTCGTCACGGATGATTTCCAGATGAGAACGCGTGCGAGAGAGAGAGACTTAAAACAAAAAACAAAAAAAAAGAAAGAAAAGAAAGAAAAAAAAGAAAAAGAAAAAAAGGAAAGGAAACATAAATCCTTTTTTCCATCAACCGGACGAAGAACTAACAAAAGTAACGCAAAAAAAAAAACTAAGTCAAGAGGGCAGGGTCATTTGGGATAGGACAGTAGGCTGAATAGAGATTCGAAAGGTTGAGAAGAACGCGTGCGAGGGAGAGGGAGCGATGGCGCGAGAAGAACGCATGCGAGGGAGAGGGAACGATGGCACGAGAGAGGGAACGCGTGCGAGGGAGATAATGTAAATAAATATTTTTTTTTAAATGAATGTATAAAATTTATTAAAAATGTATGTGTGTTTATACATTTTTTATGTGTGTGTGTGTGTGTGTGTGTGTGTGTGGTGTGTGTGTGTATGTATGTATACTTAAATTTAAGAATAAAAAGTAATGAAAATAAAAAGAAAATAAAAAGTATAAAAAATATGAAATAAGAAATAATACAAAATATATGGGGAAGGGAATGCGCCGAGCTGAGAGAGGTCGCACCTGCAACAAAAAAAGATATACATTTTATTAGTTTTTAACCCTTTGAGTGCTGAATACTCGTGGCCTATGCAGCTCGTACGGACGGCGCGCGGCTGACGCTGATGATCGCCGGGGACTGAATACTTTTTCGCGCAGTATGGATCTCGTTGACGGTGTATGACACATTATAATATAGTATACAATCCAATTACTATTCCATTGTCTATTCCACATTAAATGAAAACATTTTTATTTTCAATATATACTGTTTTGTCACCTAGTAGAATTTGAAATTCCAGTAATTTAATGATTATAATTTATTTGGTTATTCATAATCAGAAAATTAAACAAATCATAAGAAGGATTATATAATCATGGAAAGGCTTCAAATATATATATTTTAAGAAAATAACATTTAATACATAGATATTTAAAGAAAAAACTAATAATTCATAGAAAAAATTAATAATTCATTTGCGTATGATAAATCTCAAAACAAGGATCAACACATAATCCGACGTCGCATTTTTTGCATTGATATGGTGTATCCTTCCTTCTTTGCTGTCTTTTACAGACAACACATTTTCTTCTTGCCGATTTTCTCTCTGCATTTAAAATTTTTGAAGGGAAATGTCTCTCAGTCAAACGAAATGGTAGGCTTTCTACGCTTCTTTTGCCACCGCCCGCTTGTTTTCTATTTTGAGGGTATTTTTGCAGAATTTGTTTGACTAGTGACAGATGAAAATCGTTATATTTTAATTTCTTACCAGTCACACGTTGATACAGGACATACGAGTTATATATTGAGATGTCTACTAAATGGAAAAAATACTTTTTATACCACTTTAGACATTTTCTGCATGAATTTATTGTATTTAGAACCATGTCAACGCGGTCCACAGAGCCCATTTTCATGTTATAATCTACAACACATTCTGGTTTCAACTTAGGCGATCCTGTAAGATAATTTCTTCGACCAGATTCAATCATTTTCGGTTCGTGAGCACTTGATAACATCCATACATCTTTTCTATCTCGCCACTTCAATGCCAATAAGTTATTTGTACATCTGTAGTCAAATTGCCCTTTTGTCAATTTTCCATCGATATGGGGCATATCTTTTCTGTTTTTACGTACTGTCCCAAACGCATTAGTTTTATATTTATGAAGTACAGTATACAAATGCGGGCTTGTGTACCAATTATCAGTTATCAATGTATGGCCCTTTTCAAGGTATGGACGTAAAAGAGTCATAACAATATCTGCCGATTTCCCAATGGTTGTAGAATTATGTACAATATCTGTATTTTTTCCGGTATATACTATATAATCTAATATATAGTTTGTGGTGCAGTCGCACAGGATAAATGACTTTATACCAAATCTACTTCTTTTAGATGGTATAAATTGTTTAAAGTAACACCGGCCTTTGAACAACATAAGGCTTTCGTCAATGCACAAATCTTTGTACGGATAAAATGACTGTGAGAAAGAGTTCTTCAGAGTATCAATTATAGGTCGTATTTTTATCAATGGATCATCACTTTGTACATTGTTATCATTAAAATGCAACATTTGCAATAATATCATATATCTGTCTCGCGCCATAGTTCTTGGAAAAATATTAGTTTTTAACATGTCATCGGTCGACCAATACTCTTTTAGAGTCAATTTCTTCACCCGCGGCATTAACATCGTGATAGCTAAAAATCCGTACATCTCACATATTGATGTGTCTTTCCAAGTATTGATACGAGAATACGTTTTAAATGTAGTATTTTCAATAACAAATTTATAATAATTGTTCGTCTCCTCAATAATATGTGAAATTAACCCTTCCGAAAAGAAGAGTTGAAAAGCATCCAAAGGCGTAGCTTCTGGAGTTAAATTTCCTTTTACTCCAGAATTGTTGTCGTTAAATGCATGTAGTGTGGGCTTGAAATCGTTTTTCGACCATGATAACGTTGAAAGCACTTCATTCAAGTCGGATCTTTCTAAATTCGAATTTGAATCTAAATCATCCTCATCGGTAGATGTGCTAAGTATTCTTTGCCGTTTATTGTTACTTCTACATCTAACTATCCCATTATTTAGGCTATTTTCTGTATCTTCCGAATCTGATGACGGTAGAACATTTTCGTTTGGTACTTGTATATCGTCATCATCTGCCGTTTCATTCAGGTCGTCATCGCTGTCGTTTTTTGTAATAATTTCTTTAAAACTGGCACTCATTTTTAAAGTATGAAACAGGGGCGAATATCAAAATGAAAATTACGTGTACTATAAGTTGAATACGACAATATGCCAATGCAACAATTATAACTGTACGGCGTAACAGAAGAAATGAGCTATCAGAAACCAACTGAAGTGGCGTTTAAAACAAAAGTTTGCTTCTCATCGTTACTAAGCGACGACGTTCTTTTTTTGCGAGTGTTGCATTGTTCCCTGATCATTTTTGCCAGGCGCGTATTTGCGTCCATACTGATAACATCTGCTGAGCGCGTATTTGCGTCCATAGTCTATACTGATAACAACTGCTGAGCGCGTATTTGCGTCCATAGTCTACATTGATGGCTTTCGCTGGACGCATATGTGCGCCCATAGCACTCAAAGGGTTAATAAAACATTTAATAATTTATTTAATATAAAAATAGTACTTACATTAACCTGCTAGAGCCATCAAATCGTCCTGTGGCATCCACACGTTTCCACCTAGGATCCACTCTTCTTCGTGGATGATTTTCAGATAGGGCTCATCCCCGAAGAGCCGCCGCAGATCGAAGACATCTTCGACCTGACGATTGCGACTGTCCGGAGTGTCGCCCCATATGTCTAAAATATCCTCCCGTCGAGCTCGACGTATCATCCGCACCCATTGTCTATGATATATATTTATGAATCCTGGAAGTTCAACTTCTCTCTGAAACTAAATAATAAATAATAAATAATTATTTTAATAATCTAATTTAAAAAAAAATCACACGTACATGCAAACGCTACTTACCTCCAAACGCCAATCAAATGTAATTTTTAAAATTACACTAAAGAATAACTTAATAAAGCTATTCTTCCATAATTTAAATCACGTAAGATGTTGATCCATTTTATCGAAAACTCTTTCACCGTTTTATCAAAAACTCTTTCACCGTTTTATGGTATATAACGTGGAGCGATGAACTCACGTTCACAGTTCTGAACTATATGACGAGATCTCGGTCCGAAATCGTACCAGAGACACCATATGCAGCCATCTCCAAAACGCATCGTAAAAACAAAAGAATTGAGTCTACAAACAATTGCACTATAAAAAACAGCAGCTTTCTTTTGAAAGACAATGCTTGAAAGGCAACGCTTGAAAGACGACGCTTGAGAGAGGGGGTGATGGCGCGAGAACAACGCGTGCGAGAGAGAGACTTAAGATTAACGCATGAGAGAGAACGATACTTATAACTAGCGCAGGAGTGGGAACGCAAGAAGAGGTCTGTAAATAATCATATTTCTTTTTCCAATTAAAAAAATATAAAATTTAATAAAATGTGTGTATTATACATTTGTGTGTGTGTGTGTGTGTGTGTGTGTATTTAAAATTAAAATTCTAATAAAATTTTAAAATATAAAAATATAAAAAAAAATATAATATATTTGGGGGGGGGGTCGCCGGATCTGGGGGATGGTTGCTCCTGTAACAGAAAAAAGATATTGAATTAATACAAGCGTAGTTAGAGAGAGTTAAGATTTAAAAAATAGTACTTACAATGTTTTAATGTGTGCATATGGGGCACATGTCGCACGGTAGTATTTGATTCAAAGATCTTCTGCACTCTTTGCAAGACATATTGCTTAAATGTTGATAATATATGCAGCGATGTTCCCGTACAGCACTAGCTTCCAGAAATAAAAACGATAGTTCCAGGAAGCATTCCGCACAATATTTCAGTCCACATTCCACATAATAGAACGATATGCAACATATTTTTATTGTATCGTTCATCGTCAATATTCTCGGTAAGTCTAAATTTCGTTCTTTTATTTGTAATAGTTCATCACTGTCATCACTATTGATACTCTCGTAATCGCTGTCCGCAAAGGGTTCTACTTCGAAATCGGCGTCATCTTCGTCATCTTCGTGATCTTCATCAATATTCATTACATCATCATTTTCAATGATCCTCACATTATTATTTTCGATGATCATCACATCGTCATCATCGATGATCATAACATCATCATCGTCATCATTAATGATAATGATATTTTCTTCGGCCATTTTATAAAATACACAAGAACGATGAAAAAAAATATTCACTTCTTCACTTTCGATTTCTTCACTTTCGATTTCTCGACTCGCGCACTGCCAAACTCTTTCTGACAAGGCAGCGAGATCTCGAAACGAGATCGTATAATAGAGATGTGGCATTATCGCCATATCGTCGTAAACGCCTCGTAAAAAGTACGCGCGGTCCCATATATTTATCGAAAGTATAAGCAATATTGTATCGCATACCCGGTTGATAAATAATATAAACAAATAGTACCTCAGAATCGTCTTTCACGATTTTTTCTCGAAAGAATTTTTAACGTATCAGCGCCGATGTTTGGCTGCTTTGTACCCTTGCTTCCACCGCTCGTATATCAGCGCTTTCGCGGTACATCCCTCACCCCCGATATAAGTAATTCTAGATTTTTTTCGTTCGACGTATCCTTATCTCTCTCATTGAATTACACAGCATGTAAATTTATAAACAATATAAACAAACGGCACCTCCTAGAATCGTCTTTTACGATTTTTTTTATCGGACGAATTTTTAACGTATCAGCGCCGATGTTTGGCTGCTTTGTTTTCTCCTTCATATAAGAAGGATTGAAGCGCATCAAATCATCATAGTATGTGATTTGAACACCCATCGACGCGTCGGCAGTAAAAAAAAAGTATAGCGGTGTTCCGTTAGAAAGATTTTTGCGCCTATTTCACGTTCAAGATAACGAACGGTATTGTTTATCGCGTGCAAAAGTCATCCGTAGAAAACTGTGACATAGTGTTTTAAAAGTGTGAGTGTGAAAAAGATAGGAAAATGGAAAACATCGAGCAGACCGAACGCGATCTGATGGAAGGATCTCGCCAAATTGCCACCTTGGGCGAGTATTTCGCGTGGCTGCAGCGTTGCGAGGAATTGATCCAAGAGCTCGAAGAATGCAGTCGTGTCAAGCGTCCGCGGCTCTCGATCGGAAATAGACAATCTCTGGTGACTAAAATCGCGCGACTAGAAAGTGCGAAGACTCGATTGCAAAGACGGTTTATTCCCAGTGGTGGTGATTACAGCGGTGACAATAACGCGGAAAGACTCGTTTGGCGAGAGATCGATACGGCGTTCGACAGCCGTATTCTGACCGGTGCCGTGATTAACGCAAACTATATCGAACCTCGTCAATTTCTCGAGGATGCCGAAGACATCGTGCTCGAGCAAGTGCAAAACGTTCTAAAAAGACACAACAGTGTAAAAGTAAATACTATATTCAACGGTGAATTTGTGTCGGGTGATAAGCGCGCGAATAAAAGTATAAATACGAGAAACTGTGAACTCTTTCGCACATCGGATTTACGCGAGTGGTTCGAGCGCCGCGTTATCGAGCCCACTTTAGCGTCTCTGGAAGAGTTTCAGGAACGCGATAGCGGCTGGGCATTGTCGCGAATACAGAATTTGACTGTTAATGTAAATAAATATAATCCAATGCGCGCGGGATGCCACATTAAATTGTCGCGGGAGATTATGATGAAAAGAGCGGTGGTTAACGTACAGTCTAAAGACAATGCGTGTTTCGCGTGGGCAGTGGTCGCCTCTATATCCCGCAGAAAGGAACGCGGAACGAGAATCATCGTATCCACCTTACTCGACAGTGCTGAATCTCCGGGACATTGAGTTTCCAGTAACTTTAAATCAAATTAAAAAATTTGAACTCGCGAACAATATCTCGATCAACGTGTACGGCATCGAAGACAAGAACAGTATCGTCCCGATACGTCTTTCGGAGCAGAAGCGAGATAAGCACGTGAATCTGCTATACGTGGAAGACGGTAACAGCGTCGGACATTTCGCGTGGATAAAAAATTTATCCAGGCTCGTGAGCTCGCAACTGAGCAAACACAACGGTCAAAGATATATCTGCGATCGGTATGTATATATTAATATAAAATAATTATAATTTATATAACAAATTGTTCTAATTTTAATTAAAAAATTTTTCTTTTACAGATGCCTGCATTATTTTAGTTCAGATCACAAGTTGCGGTCGCATACGGTCGACTGCGGGGAGATGAATGACTGCGCTATCCGGTTGCCGAGCGACAAGGACAAGTGGCTCGAGTTCAACAATTACAACAGGAAAGAGCGGCTTCCATTCGTCGTGTACGCCGATCTGGAATGCGTTCTGACCAAAACGGAGGAAAAACAACAACAACAAAAATTGTACCAGCATCATCGGGTATTTAGTATAGCGTATTATATGCATTGTTCGTACGATGAATCTTTATCGGCGTATCATTCGCGTCGTAGCGTTGATTGTATAGCGTGTTTCGTCGAAGATCTTAAAAATTTAGCGATTCGCGTTAAGAATATTTTAACGACCAATGTCCCCATGGTTAATTTAACGTCCGAAGAGTGTGAAAAATTTCACAACGCCACTCAATGCCATATATGCGAAAAGCCGTTCGCGCAAGACGATACACGCGTTCGCGATCATTGTCATCTGACCGGGCGGTACAGAGGTCCCGCGCATTCAAATTGCAATTTAAATTACAAAGAATCTTTTTGTATTCCGATAGTTTTGCACAATTTATCCGGTTATGATTCACACTTTATTATCGAGGAAATAGCCACAGCATTCGAAGGGAGCGTCGAGTTACTTCCGATAACGAAAGAGAAATATATTTCTTTTACAAAAAATGTCGACCTTAAGGAAGGCGATTGAAAAAATAATGTAAAATTACGCTTCATCGATTCGTACAAATTTCTTACATCGAGTCTCGACAAATTAGCATCTTATCTAGACAGAGATAAGCTCAAAATTTTAAAATCGAAATTTGAAAATTTATCCGCGGAAAATTTCAGTTTATTAACACGGAAAGGCGTCTTTCCGTACGAATACGTCGACTCGGTAGATAGGTTGCGAGATACGCGTTTACCACTGCGCGAATCGTTTTACAGTTCCTTGACCGGTGAAACTATATCCGAGAG